TTTCTACTTATCATTCATCTTTACAAGTTGTACATAAAATTAGATGGATCCTTCCATGGCAGGGCTGTCAGGAAGGAGATGGGCTTCATCAGGGAAGCCCCAGGATAGCTGGTGGAAGTCCTTCTAGAGTCCCTGTGGATGCCAAATTAGAGGTGGCATGGGCAGAAGGAGAGAGGGAGGGTGGAGGGAAGGAGGAGGAGAGGAGACAGAAAAGGCAAGTGGAAAAGATAAAAGAAGAAAGGGTAGAAAGTGAGAGGAGAAAAGCAGAAGAAGAAAATGACCAGAAGGGAGAGAAAAGAAGCATAAAGAGAAAAGAGAGAAAAGGAGAGAGAAAGGAAGACAAAATGGAATGCAGAAAAATGACAGTGAGAGGAAGGAGAAGAAATACAGAAGAGATATCCACAGAGAGCAATGCCAGAAACTCAATTGAGGTGTTTTTTTTTTTTTTTTTTAAATTTTCCACTTTAACATCTTCTCTGGTAAACTCAAAGAAGGTCACATTGAATTTCCATGGAAATGACCTGTCCTGAGTTGCAACGACCTGAGTCAGGAGGTGTGATGGCAGTGATGTTACATGTCTACTGGGCTGAAGAGAGGGGATGGGGAGGGACATGGCCCAGAGGAGTATGTAGGTTTGCTTTGTATTCTCAGGTTGCCAGAGTGAGGGCACAAAAGCCAATCTTTAACTAGTGAATTGGAACTTTAATGTTTACCAAGCAGATATATCTCCCACTCTCCCCCTCCCCCTCCTCCTCTTCTCCTCCCACCTCCTCTGCCAGCTCCCTCTTCTGCTTCCAGGCCTTCTGCTAACTGGATCTAGGCCTTCCCCCTCAGCAGCCCTGGGGAGGAGCCCTTTCTGCTGCCAGAGGCTCAGAGTGCTGGTCACTGCTGGCCATGTCACCCAGTTTTCTCTAATCAGAGTCCTTCCTGTGAGACCCTACATTCCTAACTTTGGAAACAGATGGGCTCTTCTGGGAAGACAATTCCCTGCAAAGTCCCAGAGGCAGGGAGAGCCAGGACTAAGCAGCAGGGACCTATTTTAAGGGACAGAATTTTTCTAAGAGGCTTCCTGTGTACAGCCAGCCCCAGGGGGCTCTCAGTGGATATCTGCTGCTCAGCTCACAGCTCCTGACCTATCATTTGTGACTTGTCTCTAGGCTCGTTCTCAGACCAGCATTCCTATCTGGTAGATGCATCTTCCTCCCAACTTTCTATTTCTAGCTTGCTAATATCATGAACAAAACCTTTGAGAAACTTCTGGACCCTACAGTCATCTGTGCCCTCTCTAAAGCAACTGGTGGCTCTAGAAAAGAGAAATGGGCGTCCTGGGTTTTTGTAGTAGACCTAATGTTGGTCCTAGTTTGGGCAAATTGTTCAATCTCTCTAAACCTGGGTCTCCTTGTGTATGGAAGATAATCATGGTATCTCCTTCATAGGGTGGTTGTGAGGATAACATTAGACAATAGAGGTAACATGTTTTTATCATGCCTGCCAGACAGTAAGTGTGTAATAAATATTATTAAGAGGGGCAGGGGATGCATTTTTAAAAATTTCTGTGTCTGCCAGGTCTCTGAGCACAGTGCCCAGCACGTACTGAGAAAATATTTGTTGATGGATGGAGAACTGCCCCATGTTGACTGTACCCTATAAATAGTAGAACAAACATTAGGAATGAAAGAGAGTGGGTTGGTGAGGGGCAGGGGCCAGGAGAGGGAGAGAGACTGCGAGTGTGAGGAAGAGATAAAGATGGAAAGTGGAGAGATATGTGGAATCACTCTGCCTAGATGGTGCTGGAAAACACTGATCAAAAGGACCCTGGTGAGGGTTTGTGGTTTAGTAATCTCATTCTACTGAAGTCATGCTAAACTCAAAAACAAGAATCCATTTGTGACACTGGTCCAGGGATGACTTCAATAGCCATCCAAGCGACTTTGGTTAGGCTGGTTCTCAGGCACACTGACCTCTGAATTGTAAGAACAGCCACTGTGGTCTGGTTTCCGAGCTTCCACTTATCCCAAGAGAAATGTCAGCTCCCCCATCAGTCCCGAAATGAGAACATATGTGAGAGGTGCCCCTAGTTCTTTGTTGTTGTTTTGGTTGTGGTAGTGTGTTTGTGCATGACAACAACGGGATTGTTTTCCTTGCTGCCAAGAGGATGCTGGCTCTGTAACTTGCTGGGAAAGAAACAGAGTGGGCTGCCTGCACTATCTTCTCCCCTCCTTCTCTCCTCAGTGAGAAAGTGGAGAGCTGGTTTTAATGGATTGACTTTAATGGATTTTGAAGTCTGGAAAAGTGCCTAAATTGCTGAGGTTACCAGTTTTCCAGTTCTTTTTTCAATTTCTTTCTCCTTATTCAGACAAAGGGTGACCTCACTGGGGCACATACTGTGGTCACCCCAAACCAGAAGAGGGCTCTTTCTGCCTCAGCCCCACCTGGTAGGATCACCCATTACTTGGTTGGTTGGGAGCATTTTGCTTGGTCCTGCACTTACATTTGCTAGTGGCACACACACTCTCTGATCTCAAAGGAGAGAACCGACCAACAGTAACAACACAAGTTCTGCTTCCTGGAATCCAAATGGCTCCACCTGAAAGCATATTTTTTTTTGTCATCCTATTTTTCATTTGTCTCCATGTGAGTTTGTGCAGGGACAGTATGCCCTGGGAAGTTTGAGCTGCAATCCTGTCTTTTCTCCTTGCCTCTCCTGCTGTGGCCTGTGCCGGCCCAGAGAATTGTGAGGAGGTCTTTGAGGCCATGAGTCTCCCTGTGAGGCCTTTGAAGAAAGGATGGCATTCCAGGCAACCTCAAGGGGACTCTAGGCTATGTTTTAGCTCCGCTGTTGAACTCTCTCTTCACATCCCAACATACATTCACATTTCTTTCTGTTCTATCTTCCAAACTTGCCCAACTCGCCTTTGTGATTTCAGAAAAATGCCACTGGATCTCCCAGTATGAAGGATTAGCACAGATTATGGGGAACAGTGTTAATTATTGGTGGAAGGGGGGCTGGCGCGTCGCTCCAATGTGCTCCTGATTTCCCCTGGGCCTTTCTGCCTGGTAATAAGCCTTCTTTAATCTGGCAGGCCCCTTAGTGAAATCAGCACCACGGACAGTGGTATTGATTGCTTCTGAGAAACCATCACAGCTGCTCAACCAAATTACCTTTGATATGTGACCTTTAATGTAATTACTGCAACATCAAAGTATTTCTATAAATTATTAAAGAACTAATACACTCCATCATTTAGCTATTCTGTTATATGTAAAATAAACAACCACAAGTTAATGTTAGATCCTGAACAATCCACACTTGCTCCTGAAATTCCCCCAGTCCTGGGCCTTTCCCCCTTCAAAACCCTAAGCCTCCCCCTCCCACTTTCTCTTTCTGTTTCCCCATCTAATTCCAGGCTTTTAGCCATCACGAAACTCCCCAGCAATCTCTCTCAAGCTGATGAAGGGCCTCCCATAACAATGTGGTATTTTCTATTCCATTCGGGTGGCTCTAAAATATCTATCACAATCTCCCCCAAAACAAAGTACCATAAACAGTTTATTAATCAGCACAAACCTTTCTCAGAAGCTTTGATTATCTTACAATATGGCTTTATGCTTCACATATAACATGGGGCGATGTGGAGCATATTTCTGCCATCTTACAGAGGGCACCCAGAAAGTAATTACTATAATATATGTGCATGTAGCCGCGCCACTAAAAACCAACTGGGGAATGGCCACTGTGCCAGAGCTGGGCTCCACATAAAAAAACCGGTGTGGGGTACTATTTCCATACATTTGCATGCGCGGGTATGTTATTAAGATGATTCAGGCCCGTGCTTTGCAATCACAAATAGCAAAATACAATACAAAGAATGTCTTAATGGAGGGAAGGCCCTCCCCACCCCTAAACGGGTAAAGAAGGATCTTTGATACAAAGAAAAGGCTGCCCCTGTCGGGGGTTGCTTTTCTCTCTGTCTACCTGGTTAACCTTTCCCGCTGTGGGGCAGAAATGGAAGCGTGTGTTTACATACTATTGGCTTGGTAAGAATGTAAACATGCATGCGTAAACATTGGGGAGCATACGTACAGCACACACGAACTTCCCTGCAGTGCCCATTGTATAGTACAGCTTAAACACGGTATATTTATAAATTCTTTAAATTATGCCCACAAACACGCACATCTTTCCATTTATCTTTTAGATACTCGGTGAGCTGTATATTTCAGCTCCCATTCCACACCGCCCCCCCCCCGCCCCATCTCTCTGAACCCACAGGAGACGCCGCGCAGACCCTTGACCTGAGGAACACTTCTTATTTTATGGTGATGAACTAGCCTCGATAATAGCCATGGCTGATATCACACCCAGTTAGGGGGGCCATAAATAATTCTCTTCTCCCCAGCACAGAAGCAATAAACCAGGGCTGAGGCGCGATAGTTTATCAAAGACGAGGGCCGGCTCCTTAAATAAACACGGTGATCTCACTCGGGCGCGGAGCCTGGATGGAGAGGCGCCCCCTCCTGCCCCGACCCCACCCCTGGAACAGCCCGTGTCAGACGTCGATCGGCTCGTGTTCAGGCAGCCCCCGCCACCGGGAGCCCCGCGGGGCGGGGGCGAGGCAACTCCCGGCTCTCGGGGCCCTGGACACCCGGAGTGCCTGCTTCTGGCTGCCCGCACAGGCAGTGCGTGGAGGAGACACCCGATCAGCAGGGGAGGAGCCCGGCCCGAGATCTGTGGCCTTGACCAAGTTCGCCCCTTTCCGGGCCTGGACGGCGGGGTTCGGGGCCGTTTGGCGAGGTCTGAGCTCAGCGCCCACGAGTCCAAGCCTCCACTCTGCGCCTCGCAGCTTCTAGGAGCGCAAAGGCAGGCGCTAGCTCGCGAGCGGAGGCAAGGCGGCACGCCCGGGCTCGCAATCCCCCCCGCCGCCGCGTTGCAGCCGGGTCTCCCGAAGTCGCCCCCTGTCGGCGCGTCCGTCACTCGCGCAACGGCGGGCGCCACTTACCCCGGGCAGGGTCTTCTGCTCGTGCAGCGCGCTCTGGGCCTTCAGCGCTGACTCACGCTCGCAGTAGGTGAGGAAAGCGCAGCCTAGGGAGGGAAGCAAGCGGCGAGAGGGTCAGTGGGGAGCCCCGGGGCCGCGGACGCGCCTTCCCGCCGCCCTCCTCTCTCCAGCCCCTCCCTGCTCTTAGTCCCTCTCCCCACCTCTCTTTCTCTCCTGTGCATTCTACTCCAGGCTTCCTTCCTCTGCGTTTTCCTGTCTGTGTGCTTCTCGTCCCTCGCGTTGCTGCTCTGTTTTGCTCCTTCGGCAAAATCTCCCCACCCTGCACCTCCGCCCCTCCACGCCCCCTCTCCCCCAGGGTCTCTTCCTGTCTGCACCCCCTGGAGCCTCAGGTGCCTCTGTGCTTTCCCTTCCAACATCTCTCCCACCCTCCCTTCATCCCTCCCTCTGGGCGCTGTTCTCTTTCAGCTCCAGCCCCAGTACCTCCCAAGGGCAGCTTTCACCCATCACCCCCAGCACCTCTAGTCACACTTGACCATGAATTTTTATTCTGGCCTCCCTAGGAATGCTGCTGGCGGCTTTACCAAGGATGGTGGAGGGACCCTCTTGGCCTTCCAAATAAAGGCTCCATCTGTAAAGAGGACCCCAGGCCAGGTTGGCCCAATAAAATGAATGGGGCTGCCCATGCGTCCTCTGCCCTAGCCCATTGCCACATTTGCAGTGAGATCTTCACATCCCTCCCAGTCACAGGGCTTCCTGGGCTTATCCAGCCCACCAATGTGCAAGGCTGGACCTGAGGCTGACCCTTGGTCTGCCTCTTAATTCCCTGGGTGACCCCTGCAAATCACATCTATCCTGCCTCAATCTCCTCTTGTGTGAACTGGGAGTTTTGACCCATTGGTCTCTATGGTTCAGTCAAATGTTACCATTGAGTGAGTCTGACAGCACCTTCCCAGGAAATCCAGATTTAAGAGCACTGTGCCTAGCTCAACGGGTGACTTTTTAATGCTGGCTTTCAGGCACGGTGACAAGGCAAAGAGAAGGCTTGCTGGTGGGAGAGTTTCTGAAAGTTCCCTCACACTGCCCGGGATTGGGGCCTCTTCCTCTGCCTGCAGACATGGCCGGGGGTGACTTGGGAGGCCTGCAAAGCTTGGGACCACAGGGAAAGTAAGAAAGCCAACTCTGGCCAATGGCAGGCTTGACTTCTAGGGGGAAGTGGCCTCAAACTTTCCAATGCCACCCATGTCCTCAGGGAAGGCATCCTGCAGGCTGGCCACTTCCCTTGTTTCACTGTTATCTTTTTCTCCCTTGTTTCACTCTCTTTCTCATTATCTTATCTGACCTCCCAACCACCTGCATTCACCACCTCTCCCCTTTCTTTTGTTCTCACAGTCTCCTCACTAGGTATGCCTCTCTCCCCGTTTCACTTCCCCCATTTCCATCCATCTTTCCAGAATCGGACCAAGGTCCACCTTCTCTGGGCAGCCCTCCTTGACTGGTTTACTCCTTCTCAAGCCCTAGCTTCCCTAGCTGTCCAGAGCTGACCACTTAGACCTTCTTATGGCCATTTATGAACTGTTTCCTGAGTGCCCACTGCGGGTCATGTTCTGTGCCAGGCCTGGCAGCCAAGACCCTCTTGTCATGAGGTCTGCAGGCTGGTGGTGCCCGTCTGGTGCCAACACCAGCCCTTGTCATCAGGCTTGCTCTGGCCTCTTATTTCCCCGCACAGAGCACTCCCAATGTCCACTCCAGCTCCTGGCCCCTCCACCACCCAGTGAAACCCCTTCCCTCCTCTTCCAGTATAGAAATTAGTCCTGCCTCCCTTCCCTTCCTAGCTTCAGAGAAGATTTTGGAAGGGAATATATGCATGATGGGGACATAGATATGAGAGGACAGGAGCTGGGAGGCAAAAACTCTCAGCTCCCCGCGGGCCCTCCGCCTGTCCTACCTCCAACTCCTGCTCCAGGCCGGGAGGAGCTGGAGTGCCGAGGACCGTCGCTCCCACTCCGTCTCACCCCTCCCTGTCCAGACCCCAGGTCACCCCTCCTCCTTCCCCCTCCTGTTTCTCCCTCCTGGTCATGGCAGACGGTTATTGATGGAGACACATGGGGGGGACTGAAATGAATAGCGGTCAGAGGCCCCCGTGACGTCGTCCCTCGTGTTGCTGCCTGCCTCTCTGGGGGCCTTTTTCCTCCTGTCCCCTCACTGGCCTTGTCCTCTGCCTGTGCCTGCCTGCAACTGGGAGGCCGCACGGTCTAGCTGCATGCAGGCAAGCCAGCTCGGGACAAGGTCAGGGGCAGGTTTGGAGACGGGGGAGGAGGGAGGAACAGCGGGAGAGGATGACCACATTGTTTCCATGGCCCAGGATAACAAGAAAAGGATTCCAGAAAAAAACAAATAGAATCTGTTGCTTTTGTCTGGCTTTCAGGAATTTCTGTCACAGTTTTTTTTTTTTGTTTTTGTTTTTGAGAGCGCTCACAGCTGTGTTTTGAACCAGAATCTTTAAGGGACCCCCAGACCCTGTAACCTCCCCTTGTCCCCACCTCCTTTCACACTGCCCCTTGCTCACCCCTGGCCCCTTTCCTGTTTCTCAGCCCTGCCAGGCACACTGTCTCAGGACTTTTGCACTGGTTGTGCCCTCTTCCCAGAGCGGTCCCCATCCCACTATCTGCATGGCTTGCTCCTTCAGTCCCCTCAGTTTTCTGCTCAAACGTGACCTCCACAGAGATACCTCTCTTGACCGCCTATTTTAACATAGTAACCCATGCCTAACATATACTCTGACCCCTTGTCATCTGGACCCTTCTCTTTAGCGCCCTCACCCTTGACATATTAATATTGTGTATTTGTTCCTTGATTAGCAGTCTCCCCAACTCAGATGAGGTGCTGTCCCTGCTTGGTTCTCAGTGCCCAGAACAGGGGCAGGAACTCAACACATATTTGTTTATGCATTGAATCCTGAATATCTCGGCTGCTTTGAAGGGGACCAAGAAGGGGCTGAGGGGAGAACACAGAAGTGGTGCTCTAGGCTGCTGGCAGCGGACCATGGCTCTGAGGACAGTGAGGCACACCAGAGTGGTAGGGGGACAGAGGTTGCCCATAAGAGTTGATAGGTGGCACTGGCTGGGAGGGCTCTTGTCCCCAAAGCTTCCTCCAACCCATTCTCGCAGTGCCTGCCAGTGCAGCTGCTGTCACTCTCCTGTTTTTTCCTTGAAGTGATTGTCCCCTGAACAGGCTGACATGCAGTTCCAGACAGAAGGCTGTACCCAGGTGACCCATACCAGCCAGGAGCCACTTACTGATTCCTCTGTGTGAACCCAGTTGACTTGTCTATAAATGGGTACAGTCATTCCCCTCGGTGGCATGTGGTAGATGTACTTGCAAGTGAGTATGAACAACCTCTGCAGAGCTCTCTAATTGCAGAGTACAGTGTAAACACAGACTCACTCTTGTGAAGGCGGAGGTCAGTGAGGCAAAATCCCTCCTTCCAGCCTTACACAGGGACCGCCTGGGGCAAACCCACCCTGGCCTTTACAAACCACCTCTTCAGCCAGTCTGATGTTGCACTTGACAGTCTACCTGAGAGAGGAGTTGTCTCATTAGGGCTCTTTAAAAGGGCAGATACGGATAAGCCATTACTATCTGCTGACTCTGGGGCGCATGGAGGGACTGCATCTGCTCCCTTGCTGAGGGCAGAACCCTGAGGGAATGGCAGCTTGGTGGGCAGAGGGTGGCTTCATGAGTAGAGTTTGCCATCACAGGGTGTTTCAGAGTATGGTGAGCCTGGGGTGAAGGCCAAGGTGGGAGCTCAGGGTACCCAAGCTTCACCCATTGAGCCCTCACTGGCTTTGCATGTAGGGACAGTGGGGAATACACACAGATCCGCCACCCAGAAAAACTAGCTTTGACTTCCTGTTGCTCATTGCTATTCCTCACAAGAGCGGAGGAGGGGGCTTTGAGCTGTGAAGGTGGTGCAGGGGGCCACAGCTCAGCAGTCCCTAAATCTGTCAAGCTCACCCTCCTGTGGATGTGCTGAGGTGTCTCTAGAGACATGCCTGGTGAGGCCCCTTGGGGACTCGCCATCTAGCTGGGAAATGGGATTCTCTCAGGGAGCAGCTGCATACCCTTACAAGGCTGTGTAGAAGAGAAGGCTGGCGCAGGCCCTGAAGCTGAAGCTCCAAGAAGGTCTGAGAAGGAAGCACCCTTTCTGAGGATGGGGCTGGTGGCACAGGAATCTCTCCCTTGCTTCGGGCCCAGCGGTTTTCTTCCAAGGCCTGGCCCTACAAGTATGCTTGTCCTTGTGCCCACAGAGGAGAGAACAAGAGTCCACTGTGGCCCTTTGGAATAGCCAAACTTGAAAACCACCTAAAGGTCCCTCAGCACAAGGATGCTTTTTATATTACAACAGTTTAAAAGGTGAAATGGTCCTATGTGTACCAGCATGGAAAGACACATTCTCCAAGAGGAAAAGCAGAATGTAAAATCATATACAACGTGTATATACAATGGAGACATAGTCCAAGAGTTCTAGATGTACTCAACTCTGGATTTGCACCACAGTCCAGTCGAGAAGGGTCATCCCACACTGAAAACAGGGAGTATGGGGGCTGGGGGTTATCTCCCATGTCTAACTCTTTTTCATTTTATTTGACACACCTGGATGTAGAATGTATTCATGTATCACTTGCATAATTAAAGATAAAAATATCTTTGCTGAAAGAGGGGGCTGGGATAAAAAGGGGATGGGTGCAAATGGGTGAGCCAGGCAGGAGGCAGGACCCATAGTTTATTTTGAACAGAGAAAAATCATTGGGGTGTCAGCTTCGTAGCAAGTTCTTCATAAGGGAAATTATCATGGGTGGGTCATGCTATGTCCTTGCCTCAAAGCTTCCTTTGAGCTCTGAGAGTTGAAGCAGGTTCCCTCTGCGCAGCAAGCTATAAATGGCATTTGTTTTGGTCCCATGGCCTAGAGTTCCGGAAGTTGATGTTTTGGGAATAAAATCCACAATGGCTCACAGAGCCTCCCCATCTCTGAGCCCCCATTCTTCTTGGCCCCTGCCAGCTGTGTGACACTGAGGGCAGGCTCTGA